GTGTCAAGAGGCCCCTACGGATCCTCTCGTTAGCCTAGGTCAGAGCCAGGCCTGGGCCACCCACTCCTCAGTACTTTCTCCCTTCCATAAAAGATCCGTCACCCGGCGCCTCAACAACCTGAGATGCTGTTAGATTCCCCCTCCCATCTTCTTCTCTGGGTTCAATCTGAAGAATCAGTTTCTTCTTCACTTTTTCTTGGCTTCATCTCTGGTCTTTCCAGGTGAGGGTATGTCCCAAAGAGAAGAAATCCACCATTCTAAGCAGTCAGGCTGCAAGTGAAGTAGGAGAAATAATAGAAAGAGAGGACCCCTACCTACCTCCCCAGAGCTCCAGGCTTCTTGCCACCCTACCCCCCTCACAAATTGTCAGCATGCCACATCCTATGTGCTGAGCATCTCCAAGGGACTGAGTGTGTGTGTGTGTTTGTGTAGGTGTGGGCTTACGCATACCTTCAAGTGGAAGAAGTAGGGCAAAAAGGTTGTGAGTGGCACCTTCCTGGATTTCTTTGCTACATTCTGAGAGCTAATGATGGGGAACCGGTGGCAGGTGTGAACCTGCACCCTGAGTTCAAGGCTGCGTGCAGCCCTGAACTGCCAGGGCCATATGACCAACCTTCATCTTTTCTGCCTCTCCATCCCTCGTGTCTCCATCTCCCCACATCCTCTGCACTGTAGGAGCAGAATCTGCCCTTCCCTTCTTCACAAGTCTCCTCTGAAGGAGACAGAAAATTTTTCTAACACCATTAAAGCCCTGTGTGCAGCCTCCCTCCCTATAATTTAAGCAGGTCTCCTCTGCCTCTAGAGTTCCTTAGGGAAATAAACATATAATTATGTGCTTAAGGAAATCGCTTTTTAAATAAGTAAGAGTTGACTTGAAATGAAAAACTCTGCCCTTATCTTTCCATCTACCTTGGAAGGTTGGCCTGGAGCTCCATTTGGGCTCATCCCTGTGCCCTTCCCCCGTCCTTCACCTTCTCATTACCCCTTCTGTGTTTGCCCACCCATGAAGAGTAAGAGATTCACTGTGACCTTTTCCCATTCTGTCCCAGCCTGGGTGGCAGGTGTGAGCAACAAGCTTCCTCCCTCGAAAGGGCACCTTAGCATTGCACAGACCAGACTTCCCAGCCCTGGCCCCTGACACCTGGGCTGTCCTGTGACCTGTAGGGGGTTTCGCAGCCACCACTAGATGCCAGTAACACACCCTGACCCCAGTGGAGGCAACCAAAGATTCCTCTGAGCAGCGCCAGATGCCCCCACTCCCACCCTGCCCCCCGTGGTGACCAGACTCTGTTCCAGTTGAGAGCTGCTGCATCTGACCAGCAGGCAGCAGCTGCTGTCAGCAGCTTCCATTTCCTGTGAGAGAAGAGCATACATACTTGGGCGGGCACACATCTTAGTAGAGGAGAAAGGCCAGCTGTGACCCACTTTTTTCGCCATCTCTGTCAAGCACCCCCAGTCCCTTTACCTACCTTTCCAGGCTGGGTGTTCAACATGGCAGCGGACTTCACTGACTTTCCAGACCTGTGAGTGCCTCCTTTTCATGAACTGCTGCCGAACATAGATCCAGCAGCAACTGCTTCCAGCCCATGCTTTTAAAGTTCCACTACAGGTCTGCTCTGGTATGTGATCAGGGTTCTGTGCTGAACAGAGAATTTCCTACCTGGAAACCACACCCCCTGGGGTCTTCACTAACCACCCCCACCCCCAAAAGTGGTCAGAGGCGGAAACACCTGGAGTCAGGCTGGGAGAACAACCAGCCACACTCTACTTTCAGCATGGTTCTCCACCTCCATGTCACACCCTGCATGGGGCTCTAGCTGCGCCCTAGCATTTTCCAGGTTCCAAAGCAGATAGGCTATATGCCCCAGCACACAGCTTCCCACTGTAGAAAGGATTAGAATGGAGACTTGGACTTGGAACTAGCCTCAACCAGCACCCTTAGGACCATTCACAGCATGAAGGGACCCTGTCCTTGGGGCTTATCGCAGACCTTGCCCTGGCTGAGGAGGTCTGCGCCTTGTGCTCCTGCTTGCTCCACCCCACCCCCTGCTGATCCCAAAATCAGGCCTCCCCAGGGCCATGACAAGCTTGTTCCCTGGGTGAGAAATGACTTGCGCCCATTCTCCAGGCTTCAGATCAAATCTTCTGCTGTCTGCATCTCAACAGTCTTTCTAGGAAAGAAACTAATAGCGTCTAGGAGAATTGTCACAAGATAGCGGCAGTCACCACTAAGGCATTTCATACTTAGTCATGACTGTCCAACACTTGCTTATGTGATCCTATTGCCATTATTTATGAAGTGCTTAATATGTAGTTGGGTTACATACAAGGGGCACTTAAAACATGATGAATATGTTTGCCATTAGCCCTGCCAAAATACCCCCTTGCTTTAAATACATGTAGCTCATCATTCTTGCCGCTGTCTGAGGCAGTTCCAGAAGTCCCCCTTTGTGTGTCACCTAGAAGGTGTGATCCAAACTGTGACACATGCTGCTGCCAGGTGCCATCCAGCAGAAAGGCAGGCTCATAAAAACACGACTGAATGTCCTCAGCCCTAGGTTCATGGGGTACTGTGCAGCCCTGGGCTTTTCTCCAAAACCAAGTGACCACGAAAGGTAAATGTCCTGAATCAATTCAGGACATTGAAGCAGCTACAACAGCACAACGAAGGCACTCTCACAAGAGGACTTCCAGAGCTGCTTCAGACGGTGTCGAGCGTGATGGGATAAGAGTCGGAAGCCAGGGAGTATGCTGAGGGGGATTAATGGCGAGGTGTCTTTTACTGTAATAATTTTTAGATACTCATTTGTTGACTGTGCCACATACATTGGTCTGTATCATTTTATCCTTCTCTCTGCAATTCAGGTAGTTAGGTATTTGTTCCTTTTTATAGATGAGGAAGGATTTAAGGAGCTGGATAACATAACCCGAAACCACACTTGTGTTGAAGATGCTGGGACAGAAACCCACGCCATCTCATGAACCCAGATGTATTTGTTTCTTTGAGCAAACCTACAGCTGACAAGACTGTCCCTGAGGCCATCTTCAGTGTCAGAGCTGGGCATAGGACCCACCTTATGCACAGGCCCTCTGTGACCTGTCTCTTCATCTCCTTAGGAGGCCTGAAAACAACCCCATTCTGTGCTCTACCTGATGCTAAAGACGACAGCATCTGAACTATGCACAGCTCGTTAGCTTACACCCGGGGCGTTGAAAGCCAACATAGCGGCCACTCACGAGTGCAATCCTATCCCACCCTCTGTCGCCTGACTCAGAGCCCACAGATGTCCTCACTCAGCAGCACACAGGTGTGTGTGACTGGCATGGAGCCCCCAAAATGTTCTTTTACATCTGATGATTTATTAAAAACCCTTAATGCCTTTTCTGGTTTTGTTTTTGTTGTTTGACCCCTTAATGCAAACCAGGCACTGGGCCAAGTACTTTATAGACATTACCACATTCACTCCTCAAAAAAATAAAACCTGTGGGCAAGGTACTGCTTTCATAACCAATGCACAGATGGGAAAACTGAGACCCAGAGAGCCTTTAAATTGCTCGCCCTAAGTCACACAGTACAGCAACATTCTGACCTGGCACTAATGACACCCTCCCCTCCCCCTCCAGATTGTGATTAGGAAATATGTAACAGCATCTCGGGTTCCCCAGAATCTGGGCACTGGGACTCATACGACCACCTCTGGAGCCTTCTGTTCACATGGCTTCCAGAACAGAACATGCTTCCCAACCCTTCCCCAGCACAGCTCTGTCTTGGGAGTGAGCCGGCTACCTGCACCGTCCACATCCATCAGAAATGTAGGACCCAGCCGAGTTAGCAGTGAGCTACATAAGCACAGCTTCCATTGTGTTTCAAGTTTTCTCAGGCTACCATGGATCCAAGGCATCCTGTCGAGAAGGCAGCATGCTTACACACACAAGCAGCAGTCTAGGGAAGACCTCAGTGCCCGTCCATGCCTGAAGTTGAAGAGTTATGTTCAGTCTTGATAACTGAGTCCTTTGTGCCAATGAACCACTTACACTGCTTCAACCACTCTTACCCTGTTTTTCCCTTGACTTATTTTGTCCCCGTGCTTATGTGATCAAGAAACATATGAGTGATGTCACCTTGCTATGAATTTTCAATATGTGGCATTTCAGTATGGCAGACAGTTCTGAGATTTTTCTCTCAGCTTTTACAATAAGCACACCATGTCTTCAAACTTTACTCAGGTAGGTTGAGTAGTGAGTCTGCCCCAAATCCAAGGTGGCCCTATGAGAACTGACAATCAAGACAGCCATGAGTGGCATTGCTTATCTGCTCCAGTAGGTTTTGTGTGCCCATGGGCTCCTCCATCCCAGGAAAATGATTTCATTTGCATATTTTCTGTAGGTACCCTGCCTGAAATCTAGCTGGATACAAAGTAGAATTTTATAGATAAAGTAACCACACTGGGATCAATCAGAGAGGCAAGACCATGCCATTCTTGTATAAGGATCTAAGGAATCCAGTTTTTTCATTTCCCCCTCAACTCTCATGCTCCTGTCTCCACAGCCTTTGTCCTCTCTACCCTACTTGTGTTGGGGTCCCTGAGACC